TGGATCAGAATCAGAAAAAGTTCAGGATAACATGGCACACTTATCGTCATACTCGAAGAGCTTAGTTGAATCAAAGAAAGATTTAATTATTCTGTAAATTTGCCTGCTTTATGAAAATTAACAAATTAACCATTTAATTCTGGTCATAGTGCATAGTACCCTGCTATTCAATATGAAAATGGCTGACCAAACACCTCAATGCCTTTTACACACTGCATCTCCAAAATCCTGTACGCCGCTGGGAATCAGAAATCAATCTCTACCTTAAAGACTCAGCCTCCACAGTCATCTGGTGTAGGGAATCTTGGCGATCACAAGAAACATTCAGTTAAGATCACAAAGGAGTCCAGCTGGTATCAACCTGGTGAAGCCACCAAACAGGACTATTTGCACACCAAACAGTGAAAGCAGCAAGTGATAGACAGAGCTAAGCGATCCCACAACCAAATGGACCAGATCTAAGCTTTGCAGTCCTGTCACACCCTGTCATGAATGGTGGTGGACAATTAAACAACTCATTGGAGGAGGAGGCTCCACAAATATCCCCATCCTCAATGATGGAAGAGCCCAGCGCAAGAGGGCAAAAGATAAGGCTGACGCTTTCGCAGCAATCTTCAGCTAGAAGTGCCAAGTGGATGATCCATCTCGGCCTCCTCCAGTGTTCCCCAGCATTACAGATACCAGTCTTCAGCCAATTCGATTCACTCCACGTGATGTCAAGAAATGATGCAGACACTGGATACTAAATGCTACGGGACTTGACAACATTCCAGCAATAGTGCTGAAGACTTGTGCTCCAGAACTTGCCGCTCCCCTAGCCAAGCTGTTCCAGTACAGTACAACATTGGTATCTAACTAGCAATATGGAGAATTGCCCAAGTATATCCTGTACACAAAAAGCAGGACAAATCCAACCCAGCCAATTACCGGTCCATCAGTCTACTCTCGAACATCAGTAAAGTGATGGAAGGTGTCATCAACAGTGCTATCAAGCAGCACCTGCTCAGAAATAACCTGCTCAGTGACGCCCAGTTTGGGTTCTGTCAGGGCCACTCAGCTCCTGACCACATTACAGCCTTGGTTCAAAAATGTACAAAAGAGCTGAATTCCAGAGGTGAGGTGAGAGTGACAGCCCCTGATATCAAGGTTGCATTCGACCGAGTGTGGGATCAAGGAGCCCTAACAAAACTGGAAACAATGGGTATTGGGGGCAAACTCTCCGGTGGTTGGAGTCATACCTGACACATAGGACGATGGCCATGGTTGTTGGAGGTCAATCATCTCAGTTTCAGGATATCTCTGCAGGAGTTCCTCAGGGTAGTGTCCTCGGCCCAACCATCTTCAGCTGCTTCATCAATGATGTTCCCTCCAACATCAGGTCAGAAGTGGGGATGTTCGCCAATGATTGCACAATGTTCAGCAGCATTCGTGACTCCTCAGATACTGAAGCAGTTCATGTTCAAATGCAACAAGATCTGGACAATATCCAGGCTTGGGCTGAAAAGTGGCAAGTGACATTCGCGCCACACAAAAGCCAGGCTATGATCATCACCAACAAGAGACAATCTAACCACCATCCCTTGACATTCAATGGTGTTACCATCACTGAATCCCCCACTATCAACATCCTTCATGGGTGTTATCATTGACCAGGAACTCGACTGGTCTCACATTAACACAGTAGCTACAAAACAGGCCAGAAGCTAGGAATACTGTGGCGAGTGACTCACCTCCTGACTCCTCAAAGCCTGTCCACCATCTGCAAGGCACAAGTCAGAAGTATGATGGAATACTTTCCACTTGCCTGGATGAGGGCAGTCCCAACAACACTCAAGAAGCTTGACACCATCCAGGACAAAGCAGCTCACTTGATTGGCACTACTTCCACAAACATTCACTCCCTTCACCACTGGTGCTCAGTAGTAGCAGCGTGTACTATCTACAAGATGCACTGCAGAAATTCACCAAAGATCCTCAGACAGCACTTTCCAAACCCATGACCACTTCCATCTAGAAGGACAGGGGCTTCAGACATATGGGAACACCACCACCTTCAAGTTCCCCTCGAAGTCACTCACCATCCTGACTTGGAAATATATCGCCATCCCTTCACTGTCATTGGGCCAAAATCCTGGAATTCCCTCCCTAATAGCATTGTGGGTCAACCCACAGCAGGAGGACTGCAACAGTTCAAGAAGGCAGCACACCACCACCTTCTCAAGGGCAACTAGGGATGGCAAGAAATACTGACCAGCCAGCGACGCCCACACCTCACAATTGAATAAAACAAAAGCTGATACACCCAGGCCCTTCCAACATTTAGTCACATTATTTACCAAGGTGCCTGCTTCTTTCAAGTCACCCGTGTAATGGCAACATGCAAAAGGCATCACCTCGCTAACACTTTGAATCAAAACCTTGCCATATGTGAATCTTTGGCCTCTCCTGCGCAGTAACATTCTGTGAAGCTTGGTTTTGTGTCCTTACACATATCGCATAAAAGCAGCTATAAAGAGAAAAGTCAGGCCCATGCAAACATTGATCAGGCAATTTATGGAGGTTTGAGGATTTCATAAACTGCTGTCCAAAGTGCAGCATTGCCTTCCTACTTAGCAGCTGGAAAATCATGAGCTCAGGAGGCTAATGAAGGCAGGCATGAACATTTTAATAATCAGACTCAATCCTCAAGTGGAGATCACTTTGGGAACAGCCTTTTCTCATTGTCAGCAAAATGTCAGCAAACATGGCCAAAACTGGTGAAATAAACCGTCCCTGAGAAGACTGGCCATGAGAAGCTGTGGTCCAGTGGTTCCATCTCGTTTGGCAATGGCACAAAATGTAGAGCCGATTCAATTCGAAAACTCTCGAAGGGGAATTTTTGAGTGTCATCACACATTCCATGAAAATGTCTGGATGAAGCTAAATTGCAAGGATAGGATCAGAGTGTGGAATTTGAGACCAGAAGGTCAACCCAAAAAAGACTTGCTTGACTGAGACATGTTCAAATGCCAGCTTGTTCATGATGTGACAGCACCTGACAGTGATGTGGTCATTACTCCTGGAGATTTTGAGGTGTTGTTCATCCCTTGGAGTGTGTGTAAATAAACCTCTCAAGGAAAATCTCTGAAAAATTTGAAACGATTGGATTTTAGAAGATGAACAAACATTCACTCAGGTGGAAATTTGCCAGCATCCTTGCTTGCGACATTGTATTAATGGGCTGTAGATGGTTAATGATCTTGATCGGAATATTGTCTAAAAGCCATTTGGAAAATGTTGAATAGTGAATATGTTTGACAATTACCTGTGGACTAACAATGCTGAAGTTCCTGCTGATGATGAGGAAGATTCTTACAATGATGTCATCAGGCAAGTGGGACAAATTGTTTGAAGCCCACCTAATTCCCATATCTCTGCATTTACCATGGCTAATCCATCTAGCCTGCACAACCGTGGACACTACTGGACAATTTAGCATGGTCACTCCACCTAACTGGAAGAACCAGAGCACCCAGTGGAAACCCACATAGACATAGGGAGAATGTGCAAACTCCATTCAGGCAGTCACCCAGCAGTGGAATCGAACCCGGGTCCCTGGCACTGTGAGGCACCAGTGCTAACAACTGTGCCATTATGCTGACTCTACTGTGCTTGTGATGTACTGGCTAAATTCTTGTATGGGATCTGGGTATTGCTGTCAAGGTTGGCATTTATTGCCTATTCCTAACTTCCCTTGAGCTGACTAGTTCTGAATTAACCAAGAACCAATCATGTTTCTGTGGGACTGGAGTCACTAGTATGCCAGATCAAGTAAGGATAGCTGATTTCAAGGTCGGAAGGGAAGGTGGTCAGGGTGAGATGCTCTTCGGAGGGTTGGTGTGGACTCGAAGGGCTGAATGTTCTGCTTCCACACTGTAGGGATTCTATGATTCTTACCCACTTTTCCGTATATCTACGTCCCTTAGTAATTGCCTTTTCTACCCAGACTCCAACCATCCATTCTATCCATAATTTTGTAAACTTCTATCAGGTCTGCCCCCTCACCCTTTGAAGTTCAAGTGAAAACAAACCAAGTTTGTCTAATCTCCTCATAGCTAATATCCTCCAAACCAGGTGACATCCTGGTAAACCGTTTCTATACCATCTCCAAAGCCTCCAAATCCTTCTGCTAGTGTGGCGACCAGAAATGCACACAATATTTCAAAAGTGGCCTAACTAAAGTTCTATATGGTTGCATCATGACTTGCCAATTTTTATATTCTATGCCCCGACTGATGAAGGCAAACATGCGATATGCCTTCTTGACCATCTTGTGTTGTCACTTTCAGGGAACTGTGGACCTATATACCAAGATCTCTTTGGATGTTGATGCCAGTAAGGTTCTGCCATCTACTGAATACTTTCCTCATGCATTAGATCTTCCAAAATGCATCACCGTGCATTTCATGAATTATTTCAGAGTTAGGAAGCACCTTCTTGCAAAAGAGAGTGAAGCAGACAGGGACAAGAGGCGACTGCTGTGGTTCATCATTTTAAATAGTAGCTGAGGGTGAACGCAGAGGTATAGCATAGTTCTTGTGACTGTACATCTTTAGTAAGTACGACAGTTTCTCAGGTTGAAATGCCTGAAACAGATGCACTGCCAGAGGACTCCAGTTTTAAATGTCTTCACCCACCTGTACATATTAATGAAGTGTCACTTGGGGAAACTGGTAGACATCAACTATTACACACCACCCAGTCAGCCATTAACAGTCCCCATTAGTAGCTATTCACCCTCCTAGCTAAATCGTTGTCTACTCCTTTGTCTGTCCAACTGTTGTTCTCTCTCTGTGGGCTCTATCCCTACCTATCGTTTACTTCTTGATCACCCCCACCCTACTTCTGCATATAAACCAATATTTTCCTAGCTACCATCAGTTCTGAGGAAGGGTCACTCGATCCAAAACATTAACTCTGATTTCTCTCGACAGATACTGCCAGACCTGCTGAGCTTTTCCGGCAATTTCTATTTTTGTCTCTGATTTACAGCATCCACAGTTCTTTTGGTTTTTATTAAATATAAATTTCTCTACATGAATGAGTCCATTCATGCCTGAATGGACAAGTTCAAGCTAGCACATGACTTCACTGATTAAGGTTTCCTTTAAAAGAGAAAACATAATCTTAGTTCCATTTAAAGAGCTTAGAAGTCAGGGAAGTAAATTACAAGACAGATAGCAAAGCGTTATGCCATTTCAAATATGGACACAGAGTGTGCTCAGATCCCCACTTCTACAGTTGTATTCTTGCACATTTATGATCGACTATAGATTTCAGTATAAAATAGCATATATTGACCATTTACATGGAGAGTTCCCTTTTCCAGCCCACGTGTCACAACAGGAATAGAGCTTGAGTGTTGTAGAGAGTCAAGGATGTGGATGAGTTGCTGTAGAATTATGTGGGCATTAATTGAACTTTCCCCCTGTCAAAACAACAAGCAAGTTTAAATGAATAATATAAATCATCACAAGAGACGATTGCATGTGATTCTGTAGAAACAAGGAGATAAAGTGGGAAGGCAGACAGAACTGGGGGAGGGGAAGGGGGTTTTGAAATAAATAGGGAGAGAGTGGGAGG